TGACCGATCGCTCAAATGGCTAACGAGCTGATCAGTGGTGAAGAGGATAAAAGAAAAGAAGAAAAGGGGTAAGGAAAAAAAACACCAATGATAAGTAACAACACTGATACTGATCGATAATCGTTGAATATATGATCTCGGCCATGTGTGATCACCATAAAACATATCTTGCTACTGGTGCACTACAGTAACAAGCTATGTTCTATGGTGATCGTTCATATAGTACAGTATTCTGTTTTGGTGACAGTTAAGTGATTTTTGTTGTTTTTTGACTTAGAAGTACTTACCGTAGTTTCTTGTTGTCAACACGTGAGCAGTGGTCGCCACTATCATAGTTTTTACGTTTTGTGACAAGTTGTTTCACTCTCTTTTTGTGACTCTGAAGTGAATAGTGTTCTTAATGATGTGATGAGTGATGTTTAATTGTTTTATGTCTATTATTAATGTAGGATTTTTTTTTTTTTGTGATTCATGTGGATGTTGCACTGGCTGGGAACATATCCCATTGTAAATAGGGGTATACCTACTTCAGTGTTGTTGTCATTTCACAACTTTTTCAGTGTACAGAGTAGTTGTGACTTTCTTTTAATGCCATATGATATATTTATGGTACAGGCTGCTCTTCATTTCTCAGTTGGAAAGCTTTATTGAATCTGGTTGTTTGTCAGTAAAGGATATGATTTTTAATAATATTTTAACATCCATTTAATCAAAGGTAGGCAGGGCTTGAGTTGTGGTAGTATGAACTGTTATGATATACCAGTTAACTTTTTTCAATAATTCATTCCAGTTTTTATACTTCTCAAGCAAGTGCAGTCCAGCTGATACTAGTACAGTACTGTAATACCGTATTGTAATTACAGTAATCTTTTGTTGATGGGAATCTTTGATCCCCAGAACTCCGAGTGGATTTTTATATTAAAATTATTAGTCATTTTAAAATTTAGTTAACATGTTGATAATATATGCAGTACAGGGAACTAGTTTTTTGTGCGCCCATCAGCCGCTTGACTCACCCACCAGGTGTCAGTTTGGCTTTGTTTACAGTGGAGTGAACATCGATTTTGTTGGTATCTTGAATATTTTTGCATTTTTACACGAAAATTATTGGTCATTCTGAAATTTAGTTAACATATTGATAATATATAGCGCAGTGCAGTGTTGATTTAAATAAAATAATCTTGAATCACACCTAGTGAACTTAAAATTTTATTGGTGAAATGACGGCATCAAGCATGGGTCCTCTGAAAGGTGATTTCTCCTCCATCCACACTGCTTTCTCTTCTCCCTTCTTTTCCACCCCCACTTCTAATTCCCATCATCATCATCAACCAGGAACCTTCTACATATACACCTCAAAGTAAGTGCACTATACTGCATTTTTTTTTTTACTTTGTATGTACTTTTCTCTGAGCTGCAACCAATTTCCCAATATCTCATTGAAACAGTGGATTCGGTTAACGAACGATTCTGTGGAACGAATTGTGTTCGTTAACTGAGGGACCACTGTACATATATATATACTGTAAAACAAAGAGACGATTGAGTTACACTGGGATGTTTTGTTGGCACATCTGCCCAACGCAATCAATATACCAACAAAGTGTCTAGACGAGGTTTGCCATGGATGCTGTTACTACAGTTGAGGCCTTCCAGGATTGTGCTATGGTTCTTCAATTGCTGAAACAAATGGGGCATCTGCAAAAGTTAAAGAAAAGACAATGAGTGTGTTGTGAATTGTTTTTTTTAATTGGCGATGGCTGGCTTGTCAAAGAAGACCCTGAATAATGATTTAATAATACTAAAGAAGTTTTAAAGTGACGAATAAATAGAAACATGTCACCGTTTTATGTGTTGTACTGTATTTTAAATTATTATTGTTTCGTGATTTATTTAAATATTTACTTGAATATTCAACACCTAATATGAAACTAATTTGAGCACTAACCCAGCCAGCAAAGCTCACTGCCAAACTGTTGTCCATTTGGGCCATCAGGCCAGCAGCCAGCAAAATGGGCAACAGTTTTGGAGGAAAGTGCCCAGTGGGCTGCCACCGTTAGCCATGAATTCCTGGCTGGGAGACTGGAAGCTATGTAGCTGGTATGTTAATTTAGATTGGAAAAGTCACGTATCCTGATATATGAGAGTCTTTAGGTTTGCTTCCTGAGGATTATAAGCCATATACCTGGCTAAGTACTGTACAGTAACCACTTCTCTTTTCATCTTGTACATCCTTGGATGTACTGTATTATTTAATTTTCAGCGTGTTTGGTTGACTTTTACAACTGGTGAGGACAGGTGTATTATCACAAATACAATTCTTTTTATTTATAGCTTTGGGATATTTTGAACATTAACCAATATCTTCATTCAACAGACACGTGGTCACTTGGAGAAATTCAAGAAGCATTTAGTTTAATCCTTGAGATAGAGCAGCACACTAACTTCCATGTGCTGCATCCCAACCACCGCCAGCACTCCGCAATCCCACACCTTCAGTTTATTTATGACCGTCTACAGAAGATCTTTGGTTTAAGACTGTGGGCTAAAGTTGGTGAGTAATTAGAACGTACATTGAACATTAATAGTACAGCATAAACAAACCATTAATTTGATTCTATATATTATGTTGAGTATAAAAATTATATGGTTGTAGTGAAAATTGCAGATAAAGGAAAGAGCATTTTGTTTTCTGGCCTTTTCACTAGAGTTGAAGTGAAGAAAACTTTCGAAAGTGAGGTGAGAGGTTTGAGTAATATCTTTCAAGTATGGAGTTAAGTAACAAAATGGTGTACAGGTATTGTACTGTATTGTATTCACAACAATATGAGATTTTTTTGTTTCCTTGTAGGAGAGATGTATTTTTTTTAAATTTATTTGCTTTGGTAAAATTACTGAAGATGTATTACATTTGGTTCAGCTTTCAGCTGTTAAAGGACAATAGAGTTGGAGACGGAGGTAGACCAGTTAGTGGAGCTTGAATATGGTCGCCCGAAAGTAAATGTTGGTGTTTGACAAAGTTCTTCCATCAGGAGCAAAAGCCTAGTGTACACTGATTGGTATTGGGTCTTGTTACAGGGAAATTAATTAAATTATTTTATTATTTCAGGACAAAGTCTTCCACAGAATGAAACTATAAGTTTACGCTGCTTCCGGAACTTACAAGCTCTGGAGTTATTGCACATTCCTGTGACCAGCCTCAAAGCCCTCCAAACCCTGCGGCCAACACTGCGATCAGTAATAATAGTTAAAGGACTAACACGACTTAGTGATCTGTTCATCCGTTGTGGTGGTGATAAGGTAAATTTTAACTCCATTATTTTTATCTTAATTAAAATACAATGAAATATCAGTTTTTAATATATAATCCAGTGAAAGGACAAGTAAAAAAATGTAGGACTGAAATGTACTGTGGTATTAAAAGAGAGTCACCAAAATTTGTGTGTACACACTTTACATCTGTTACAGGTACAGTACAGCTACAGGTCATACAATGTTTTTGATGGTTATTCAGTAACTAAATCAATTATATTCATTGAACTCTGTGGGATACATTATATAAATCCCAGTAACTGTCTTCCATCACAGCATTGCTGCAATTTTGGAACCTTGGTAATAAGCTGATCGTATTTTAGTTATTTCTTAACCAGAGAAATTGAAACATAAAATTTACTCACATTTTGCTATTTTTGTAGGAATTATACTTGATATGGGGGTGGATGTGGTTACTCTTGGATACATCACTGTGGAAAAGTGGATAGAATGATGGTTATTAGTGTGTCTGTCATCAGTTTTTCATTACTCTCTACTGCTCTCTACACAACTATTGAAAATTATTTTTGCCAAACTTGGTAGTCAGGTCAGAGGGTAAGATGTCATCTTACCCTCTGACCTGACTACCGACTGCTGCGGTGTTTTTTGAAGATTAGTAGGGTCATTACCTAATACCTGACCATTGTGGACTTGATCTCACCCTCCTCTGTATATATATACCTTGTTATGTACTTCTCCTTAGTCTGTACTCACCCCTGAAGATGTGAATTACACGAAAGCGCTTGGGAACTTCGTGTTTTCTTTTTCCTTGTAGTTATCAGTATATATATATATATATATATATATATATATATATATATATATATATATATATATATATATATATATATATATATATATATATATATATATATATTATATATATATACAGTAGTACCCCGCTTAACGCGGTCAATTGAACCCACAGGGTACCGCGTTAAGTGAACAACAGAACATATGGGATTAATTCCAATAGAGACTGGCCCGACCCCCAAACTCCACTTTTTGACGACACACAACTATGTTGTAGTAAAAAATTTATCTTAACTTTATGATGGTATGCACACACAATTAATAATTAAGAGAAATATCAATAATATTAGGTTTTTTAACACTTGCATTAGTAGAAAAGATGGCTGGGCACACGGGGATGGGGGGTTGGTTCCGAGGCAGAGGGCAGATTATTGGCCCTCACCTGTATCACTTGTATCAATTGTATCACTATCCACCACAGAGGCTTGCAGGGCCTCTTTGTCAAACCCCTCAAAGGCCATATAAGTCCATATCCTCACTATAATTATCACTATCACTGACTTGGGCCGGCTGTGGTGGGTGGCGGGTGAAGAACTCGGTAATGTTGTGATGACTGGGCGACCTTGTGCGCATCGTGCCCGCGCCGCTTCCCGCGTATATGATGAAAAATTCCGCGTTAAGTGAAAGTTCAGCTCTGGCGAGGCACCGCGTATATGATAAAACGCGTTAAGTGAAACCGCGTTAGGCGGGGTAATACTGTGTGTGTATATATGTATACAGTATATATATATATATATATATATATATATATATATATATATATATATATATATATATATATATATATATATATATATATATATATATATATATATATATATATATATACTGTATATATATATATTATTTTTCCATTTGTTATAGTGCCTTTTTAGTTTTTCCACTAATGTATTGTAAACTAACTAACAGTGTTTATACTGTATATCAGGCAGGAGAGTTTGCATGGGAGCAACTGCAGGAAGCTGTGTTGGCTCACAACTCATTGTACAGTTTAGACCACAGCCTTAGTCTCCTGCCAAACCTTAAGGTATGTTGCAAGAAATATGTAAGTACTTACTGTATCTTGTACTACTATTGTGGGGATTATTTGAAATTGTATTACATTTGAATTTTTTGTATATTCTGTCATTCAGTATGGTATTTGCTTGCTTCTCTGTTGGTCTGTACTGTTTATAAAGCTAAATGCTTGAGCACTGATGAAATTTGGTGGATTTTTCTTGATAAGATTTGAAGGGATTATGTCTCATTGGTTATTTACGTTCTGTGATGTTTTTTGGGAGTAATTAGGGCATAGAAACTGTCATAATTTATTTTATGAATTAATGGTTATATGGCTAACCATTGCAAGCATAGAAAATGTACATAAAACGTTTATGATGATGATGATGATTATTACAGTATTATTATTGAAACCAAACTATTTTTGGTACTTAAGCTTTCAATTACAGTTCACACGTATTACAGTGTTTAGGTACATGTATATATTTTCTGGCAATTTGTATGATAGCGCCTTTCGTAGAAATTTGAGGTTTATGGTGCTAATACTGTATATGTTTTTGTTTGAACAGATACTAGACTTAAGCCATTGTGAACTGGAGGATGCCTCAGCTCTGGAGTACCTCCCTACTGTGTCGTTATTAGACCTGAGCCACAACCAACTACGGCTCCTTCCCCGTCTCTCTCCTACTGCTACCTACTCTCTTATAGTTCTCATAGCCAATAACAATCTTTTTTCTCACATAAGTGGTGCGTATATATTTTGTTGTAGTTTTGGGTTGCTTAACAGCCATTTACATTACTCTTTTAAGAATGGACATCATATACAGTAGTATTTTAAGATGAAGTGTTACAACAGTTTTATATTCTGTAAGGATGCTACTTATTTTTCCTTATTTAGGTTTACATGAAATGAATAACATTGAGGAGCTGGATCTGAGGGACAATGTATTAAGTTTGAAGGAAGCGTTGTCACCCATTGGTGCCTTACCTCATATTAGAGTGCTCAAGATAAGTGGTAACCCTATCACATGGGACCTCAACTACAGAAGTCAAATTATCAGACAGCTAAATCCTGCTACTGCCAATCATAAGGTACTATATATGTTGACTTAGTTATGAAATTATTTTCACCATTAACTTTACTAATGTAACACTTGTCATATGTGCAGCTTTATGTTTGATAGAGAGAAACTTATTCATGTATGTGTTAGAACTTGACAACTTGTTAAATATTTGGTCATTTTCTTAGGACACAAAATCATAATAGTCCTTGTGATGTATCATTAACTTGTCCAACTTAACTCTTTCATCTTTTATGGTTAAATTTTTTAACTCGCTGTGTTTCTTCAATAAATGTTTATTATCACTTTTTTTTACTGCTCATTTAAGATAATGTTGTTTGCAGGTTGTGTTTGATGATGTGCCTCTAACAGGTCAAGAATATGATGAGGTTGGGATGCATGCAGTGCCAGCAGGATCCTCTTACTCCCCAGAACTTCTTTCATCTCTTTCATCCCTCTCCTCCCTTTGTTCTCCAGTGAATCCAATAAGTCCAGCACATGGACTAATCTCACAGCCTCTGTATTCACCTGAAGAGGCAGATCTGATTCAGCTAGATCCAGTAGACTCCCAACCAGCAAGTTTAGTTAATGATTCAGCTCCTGTATCACTCAAAAACTCAGGTTTGGTTGTGTTCTGCTCTTGGCATTTAGATTGTATATCATCTGGGTATTTAAGAATTGTCTGTTATGTTTTACTTTTGCATGATTTTTAAGTGGTGATGAATTCTTTTAAATCCTTTACACATAAAGATGGTGCATCACAACCACTCTAGATATTAACAGTAGTGTACAGTGTTATGTGAGTGAAATGATGTACAAAATTTCAATTTGAATACATAAGAATTTATGTATTTCCTTATTATTACTTCTGGTAAGGAATCATACTCATATATACAAGAGGCTGTTATAATTTTATAATCACCACCAACCTGATAACTGACTGAAGTATTAATTTATGCTCATTCATCCCTCTGGTAATAAACATCACCCTTGGCTGTGAAACTTTCTTATATTTGACGTAGATTTTTGGTGCTCAATGCAAATACTTCTCTGTTACCGTCTAGTAGAAGTTTTCATGCTAAAAATTTTATAATTGTTGCCCATGCTTGGAAGGCAAGGACAGCTGCCAGTGTGTCCCTTTTTAATATTCATCATACCTGAATGTCATCAAACTTACGTCAAGTAGAGGATGCAAAGGAGACCATTGCCTCTATTTTCATGTACAGTGCTTCTCTTGGGGGTACATGATAACAAATTTTAACTATCTCGATGAGCATGGTTTATATGGAAGATTCTCCTCTCAGATTCAGAAGAGCTAACTCTTAACTATGTTGGATTAAAACTTAATAAAGTTTACCTTTGAAGTATTTTAAGAGCAGACGAATGTCAACTGTCTTTTGATTTATTTTTAGTTCATTTTTGTTAGCATGAAACACTGATGTCTATGTTTCCCATTTATTAGTGTAAAGTACAGTAGTTCCAAACATGTGAAAAAATATGTAGGGTGGTTTTGTGTGGAAATTGGAGATTTTGACCAACATTATTTCACCCACTGGTGTGTGACTGATCCCTTTCAGTAAAGTGGTAACACTATTCTTTCATGTCTATCAAAACGTTCTGGGTGTTTAAAAAATGATGTGAAGTTCTTTTCAGCTGGTTTTTGTATTGTTACTTATATGCAGCAGTCATTTTTGCTTAAAATATCGTTTTATTTGTGTTACATATGGCTAGGATGCTTTTACTTTCACACCTCTTCATACCTTAAGTAAAAATCCAAACAAAGTATATATAATGAACCCAAATTTAAGTATTTTCATGGAGAGAGAGCCAGACCCAGCAGGGCAGGGTTTGTTAATCTCATTGTGATTTTTCTATCAAGAAATGGCTTGATAGGTCCTGTGGGGTATGTAGTCAGCCTCCAACATGGTTTTACTTTTGTTAACATATTTGGCATGTATTTGAAGGTTGAGATGCAAAAATTTATATGAGACTCAGAATGGTTGAATACTGTAATGGCTTCTTTTCTTTAAAACTGTAATTAAAAGTGATGAATTTTGTCCATATTCACTCAAAGGATTAATACCTATTAAAAATATTTGCTAGTGGCTACCATGTTTGAAACATCCAATAATCTCACTACCCAGGCAATGGACAACCCCGCAGAAAATCAAAGAAGAAACGCACTCGACATATAGCCATCACAGATCCTGATAATGAGGATATGGACAATTAGATGCATTAAAAGAATCAAATCACAGTATCACTCTGGTTCCAGTTAATGGCACAAACATTCAAAAACAATACTATCAAAATTATTTAGGACTATTAAACTACACACGTCAAGATAATATCAGTCTGAGGAATGGTGTTAACTACACCCGTAATAAAGGAGGGAAGATGTTCCTCTAGGTATCTCCTAGAGACCTAGACTCACGGTCTCAGTGTGTGACCATTAGTTTACTCAGATAGCCTCAGTGTACTCCCAGTGCGTCCATAAAGCGGAAGGGAGTGAGCCAATCAGACCTTGTACAGTTGAGAGAAACTTTAGCTTCCCGTTGGCAAGAGGGTTTCACTAAGCTGCTCGGGACATGTGGTGTTGTGCACCCGAGTGGTAAGAACTGATCACCCACTGTGGATGCTGGTCCCGTCGTTTTAGTTGTCGGAAGCACTCGTTCACTCAAGAGATCCTTTGCTATCCCGCTAAACAGTGACAGGCCTACACTGATCGGTCCAATGGCGACAATCGCCACCCTCAATCATCAACGGCAGTCTCAAACGGCAGTCAATCTCTCGCAGTCAACTCCGGTCAACTCCGGTCAACTCCGGTCAACTCCAGTCAAGTGGGTTCTGACGGAAACCCTGAAATGAACTCACTGTTAGCTCTAGTTTACTTTACCACTGCCCTATCTAACCCGGTCTGAGATCGCATGAGACTTACTTGTTATACGGCAATAGCGCAACACAGGTGACTAGGCCACGTGACTATTTCTGTGACGGACGCGCAGGGACGTCTTGTTTTGTATGAATCCTCCCCGCGACTGAGGGCCAGCCAGCGTCGCGTCCTCTCAAGGCGTTAGCTTAGGCCTACGTGACATATTTTCCGCCTAACTAATAACTCCTTGGGACACCCGTAACATTATTCAGACTGATAAACGATCTATAATAATTTCAAATTCAATAATAGTCCCTTACTTCATGAATCGCATCATTATTAATTCGGTAAATTACATTTAATATCATATAGGCCTAGTTCCGCAATCTCTCGCTATGAGCAGGCAGCGCTCTCTCCCCTCAGATGACCTTGAACGCTCAGTATCGCTAATGGCGGGGCATTTGAAATTACTCTGAAATTTCTGATTATATATATATATATATATATATATATATATATATATATATATATATATATATATATATATATATATATATATATATATATATATATATATATATATATATGGATCCTTATTTGTGTTTACTATTTCATCCTGGTTGCTGATTTCATTTGTGGCCATGTTGACTAGATTGGTCATATCACATTGAGCACCTGGGGTCCCAGAGTGGGGTTTGGACTGAAGAATTTCCTCAAGTAATCTGTTACTTTGCTCAGGAGCAGGATTTCTGAATAAAAAATGTTTTTGCATTTTTAATTTTTAACTTCTTTAACAAATATTGAAGAACAAACTATTGCTATGGAAAATGTTCCTGCTACAGTGACAAATTCCAAATAAAAAAATCCATATTTAAGTTACATTCATAAGTGACATGTCACACAGAAAAAATTTGCTTTCTCATTTTATTCCTCATAGTCCATGAACTGTACACAAAACACAAAAAAATAACTCATTACCTGGCAGTAACTTACCTCCTGTCAGTCTTGAGGGTGTGGGCATTGAGAGCCTGAGTGAAACTTTCTGAGGTGGGAAGAGTGAAGGTTGGACCAGCTACCAAACTAGGTGGAGGTGGGTCGGGTACACCTTCAAATAAAATACATTTTCTTAGCTCCAACAACTCGATGCATACTGTAATAGCACAATTTAATTTATTCTGCAGGAGTCTATTTAATTATCTGTATATATCATGGCATTGAATATTTCTAGCTGAATGCAATTCCCATTTTTTCAAATTAATTTTGAATATCCATCTTTGCAAATATTTACGTTCTCTTAAACTACCTAATTTCTGGAAGTCCTTAATCATTTAAAAGCCCCTAACTCATAGGTCTCTAAATTCCACTGACCATCTCTCCAAAACCATATGTAATCTTATTACATCAACATGTCCACTGTTTTGCAAGGTTTCCTCTAAGTAACTCTTAACTTACCATTTCTTGTGCATCATTTTACTCGTATCTACAGTATGTCCTTGAATAGCTTAAGTCATCAATCATCATTTACATTCAGTATGACTGTATCTTTTCCTGTATATGCCACTGGTTGTTTTCTTAATCCTTATTCCTTTCTAAACTACATATTAAAATTGTGGTACATAGCTGCCCACCACATCAAACAATAAATTAATAGAACAGTTTTGATCTGAAATAAAGAGTCTAATGAACATACTAGCCAGGTCTTCAAATCCCAAATAAACCAATAGTTACTTTTGGATTTTCCACCCAGCATGACTGTTAAAGACTTACCCATTCTTTCCAACATGTCACTGTCTGCCAAATGTATACTGTCATTGTCCATATCCTCATTATCAGGATCTGTGATGGCTATATGTCGAGTGCGTTTCTTCTTTGATTTTCTGCGGGGTTGTCCATTGCCTGGGTAGTGAGATTATTGGATGTTTCAAACATGGTAGCCACTAGCAAATATTTTTAATAGGTATTAATCCTTTTTAGTGAATATGGACAAAATTCATCACTTTTAATTACAGTACAAAGAAAAGCCATTACAGTATTCAACCATTCTGAGTCTCACATATGGTACATCTCAACCTTCAAATACATGCCAAATATGTTAACAAAGTAAAACCATGTTGGAGGGCTGACTTCACATACCCACAGGGACCTATCAAGCCATTTCTTATTAGAAAAATATCACAATGAGATTAACAAGCCCTGCCCTGCTGGGTCTGAAAATATACCTCTCCATGAAAATACTTAAATTTTAGGTTCATTATATGCACTTTGTTGGATTTTTACTTAAAGGTATGAGAAAGTGTGAAGTAAAGCATCCCTGTACCATATGTAAACACAAATAAGCTTGATATTTTAAAGCAAAAATGACTGCTGCATATAGTAACTCAATACAAAAACCAGCTGAAAAGAACTTCACATCATTTTTTAAACACCCAGAACGTTTTGATAGACATGAAAGAATAGTGTTACCACTTTACTGAAAGGGATCAGTCACACACCAGTGGGTGAAATAATGTTGGTCAAAATCTCCAATTTCCACACAAAACCACCCTACATATTTTTTCACATGTTTGGAACTACTGTACTTTACACTAATAAATGGGAAACATAGACATCAGTGTTTCATGCTAACAAAAATGAACTAAAAATAAATCAAAAGACAGTTGACATTCGTCTGCTCTTAAAATACTTCAAAGGTAAACTTTATTAAGTTTTAATCCAACATAGTTAAGAGTTAGCTCTTCTGAATCTGAGAGGAGAATCTTCCATATAAACCATGCTCATCGAGATAGTTAAAATTTGTTATCATGTACCCCCAAGAGAAGCACTGTACATGAAAATAGAGGCAATGGTCTCCTTTGCATCCTCTACTTGACGTAAGTTTGATGACATTCAGGTATGATGAATA